GAAGAGCGTGACATGGCCCCATGTGGCAGAACTGAGCCGGAAAGGTTCCCATTCCTACTTGCTGCCTTCTCCTCATGTTTATCTTTCTGTTTAACCTCCCTGAGGGCAAAGGGGTCCAGGGTGGCTCAAGCGGTGATGGGAAATGAGGTAGATTTGAGTTTGGAAAGGGAGAACAGACACGGCGGGGTGTGGAATCTGAAAACTGAAGTTGATCCTTGGCAGGATTCTTGTTAAACGAGCATCTACATTAAATTTCAGAACTTATCCTCAAGTGACACTCGCTCTGTCGTTTCCTTTGTCTCGGCCGCTCAGGAAGAGCGCGTAGTCTGGCTGCATAGTCATTTCTCTTAATTTATTTTCGTTTGGTTCCCTGCATGCGGCTACTGTGGAGATCTGTGGGATTTCTGTGGTAGGGCAAAGCCTCTGTGTGTGCTGGAAGCTGGTACAGAGGCTGGAAGGTGCCTAACGTATTCCCGTGCCCTGTGTATGGTGTTACCCCTAAGCAAGCCCTTTGAAAAGCTCAATTATTATTTTTCAAAGTTAAGTGCTAGGGTTTGTCCCTAAGACAAGTCTCCCCAATAACCTATAAACTGCTACCACTGGGATGGATTTGTGTATCGGTCAGGTTGCGGTTAATCCCGAATTGAGCCAGTGGCTCTGGATTTACACCGGGCGTAATGGTAGTCAGGACCTGTCCCTCTGTCATTGTGAAGGTGCTGGCAGACTCTGACGGTGTTTTGCATGTTCCCACAGAGATACGAGCACATTTAAATTGGCAGCTGAGTATCATAAGTTTGACACTTGGATTTAATTAACCTCGCATCTGTCTGGATACCCAAAGTGACTGAAATGGCCCCGAGCCTGGGCTATAAGAAAGCAGAAAATTGAGGTCAAGGCCTAGCAGCAATTCTCAGGGTTCAGCATGGTGAAAAGCAGTTACACCCAGACGAAAACAAGTCTGCCGTATGCCCATTTCTCGGTCACCTTCTTCCCTCTGTCCACATCTCAGGGAAATCAGTGAAAGAACCCCCGGAGAGTCCTAAATAAAATCTGTAGCTAGTAGAGCGCAACGTGGAGTGTTTTGGCAGCAGTCTGAGAAGGGAAAATGTCGGATGGTGCACATGAGATCTTGCCTGGAGTTTTACCAACCACCTCAGCTAGATGAGTGAAACACCTGCTTAGGTGTCTTAGAACGTGCCATTTCTTATAAAACATTGCTCCAAGAGGCTTACAGCGGAGGATTTTTTTGTTAATACTTTTAAGCATCGAGTTACAAGACAAAGCGCTGGTGTTTTTTGTATTTGGATTTATGCAGAAACACTTTTAAGCTGGTACAAAGCCTGTCTGAAATCATTTATGGCTGCCTGTGGGGCCAGGGGTCTATTCGCCTGAATTCAGTTGCAAATTAGGGTCTAGAAATGTTAAAAGGAAATGGACAAGCTGCAGCAGTTCTTTATAAAGCAGCTACATTTACTTTATTTTGTAATGACTAAGATGGATTTAATTAGAAAACATCTCTGTTTTCAACTGAATAATGCTCTTTGTTTACTGTTTGAGCCACTTGGGAAAATGGAAATAGGTTAGGCAGTGTTACTCAGAAGCAGCTTTTATTTCTACATAGTAGTTCAGTGCAAAGCACTGTGGATTGCTGATACTGCAGAGAGTTGTCAGAATCCAGGCAAGATAGTCCATGCAATTGAATTCTTAAAAAGATGGAAATAAGTGTTCAGTGTAATCTTTGGAGGGGGTGATCTCTGGGAGAATCTGATGCTCCTCTAATTGCTTTTTTTATTCCGTTCATCCCCTGCAATGGGAATTGCTAGGAGAAATTGGGAGCCGGCACCTCTGGGGTGTGGGATCTGGCTGCCTGAAATCTGTAGGAGCTTTCTGCCCTCGTTGTTGGGGAAGGACGGGGAACGAGCTCTGCAATTACTGCTTTCGGGGTGATGAAAGGAAAAGTTTGAAATACAATTTCAAAGGCTGGCTGCTGCTGGGCTTCTGCAGGCAGAATTCCCATTGAGATCTGTGGAAACTTGTGTGGGACTGCTGCAGAATCTCATTTGTTTTCCCCGCTCACAGCAGCCGCTTCTGCAGAGATGGAGTGCAGGAGCCAGCAGCTGAAGCAGGAAGCTTTTATGTTACCAGAAACTTTGGGAGACTATGGCATAAGATGTGGAAGGGGGATTTTTCAGTACTTAAAAACCACAGCAGAGCCTGCCAGAGCCTTACCAGACGCTGAGGGTAAGAGCATTCCCTCTGGATTCCAGCAGCCCCACCACAGTGAGCAAAGCTGGCTGCCAGGTTGGCTGCAAAACTCTGGGATGATCTAGTAAAGCATGGGGAAAATTATGGTTTAGTGTTCATTAAGCAGCACTTGGTTGTGGTTTCTTGAGCTGGAGTGGGACAATTTCAGACCTCGAGCCCTACAGAGCCAAGTTATACCTTCCAAGCAGGAGCCAGGTCTGATGGTGTTTGCAGGTGAAGCAGTTTGCAGTCGTATCAGGGAGAGATGGCTGGCTGATCAGCAGCACCTCCCAACAAGGTATTTCACATGGAGAACAAGGAAAGGACCTTAAAATGAAGAGATTTCAAGTTCAGTTGAGTCTCTGAACATTTTACCTTCAGTGTGAAGGTTAAAGCTGATTCAAAAGAATCGCAAGATCTTTCCATTGAATGCTACTGGATGCAGATGGAGGAGACTGTTTTAACATGTGGTGCGAGGCCTGAGAGATTTCCAGGGACTTGATTTTGAAGCAGCAGTTCTCAGGAGCCAGGAAGGAAGAGAGTTCGGCGCAGTTGCTCACGAGATGCCAGGATGGCTGGCTGGCAGGAGGCGTTGGCAGAACTGCCTTAGCTCAGCATGCTCGGCGCTGAGGGATTGCCTGTCGCTGCTGCTCTTCCCACTGCTTCTGAGGAATCGTTAGGGAGATCATGATTGATTCTGACCCTGTTTTATTTATAAAATATTTATTTCTTGCGCTGGTCTCTGTGCCATTTTTTAAACGCATTTGTCTGTCAAGGTGTCAAAAACTGGAGAATTGCTTTTGGAGTTTATCTCCCAGTCCATCCGTCTTTGGCATTTATCAGGTACCTTTATATCACTTGGGAGAGAACTTACAGCTCCTTCAGGATATCTGTTGCACCTCCAGCAAGGACAGCCGATGGGGACAGGGCTGCACGTAACCACAAGCCCCATCTGCCCTACCAGGGTCTGGGCTGTTCCAGGCCCAGCACAGATTGAGAGCACCCAAATTCGGTCCTGTTACTTCTCAATACTCCACAGCAGAGTCTCCAAACTAGAAATGCAATAGAGAAATGGGGATTTGAGCCTGCTCTCCCATGTATATGCAGCAGATGCTGCCTTGCCAGTCTCTGATGGACAGGAATATATACTATTGGGTCTCACCTCTTTCTCTGTCTGCCAACCCTAAATGATTTGAGTTCTTCTCCTTTGGAAGCAGGCGCTGTAAATCTTGGATCCTCCAGCCCCAGGGCAGGCATGGCTGGGTGCCGAGGATCTGTCTGATGGTTCCCAGGCCACGCTGATGCTACTCTGCCAGAAGAGAGATGGGGAAAAGATACTTCTGTGACTACTGTGACAGGTCCTTTCAGGACAACCTTCACAACAGGAAGAAACACCTCAATGGAGTGCAGCATCTCAGGGCTAAGAGAGTCTGGTACGACTTATTCCGAGGTGGGTACTACCAACTGCCTGCCATGCTCTTTCTGGGACTGGGGAGGTGATGGATGAGGTGGGGGGGCATGGAATAGATAAAATAAATCATCACTGATGATTTATATTTAGATTGTGCCAGTAAATTGTGGGCTTGATACAGTTGCTGTCAAGTGGTCTCAGAGGTAAAACCCTTGTGTGTCTGGATGTGGGAACGGGAAACTACGTGTCAACTGGGACTTGAAATGAGGTGGAAGAGATAGGGGGGTTGTTTCTGAGAACAGGAGTTGCAGATAAAACTCTCTTGGGATCATGGGCAAATGTGAGATGGGAGACCTGAGAGAACAAAGTGAGTTACAGTTTCTGAAGGTGAGTTAGGTGCCTTCTGCAAATCAGAGTTGATCCCTGATGTGCGAGGAGCAAGGAATATGGGTGTGCATGTGGAGAAAACCGTCTGGAAGGCGGGCTGTACACACGTGTTGTGTGAACGGGCGGGAAGCTGGCAGTTCTCTGCACTGGGTGGAAGTGTCAGTCCTGAGGGTGGGAGAGGCTGAGGATGCAACCGCTTGACTGGAGATCCCAGCCGGGTGAGAGGGTTGGGGAAGCAGCGCAAAGCACTGGTGTGCTCAAACCTGTCTTAGCCAAGGGGAGGGCTAAGGTGCATTGAGGTTTTGGCAGAGGAAGAATTGGAGTTCTGGGGCTGGAGGCCATGTCAGGACGTGCTGGAGGAAAGCCCTGTGTCCTGCCTGTTTAGCAGGACTCTCCTTACCCAGCTCAGTGCTCTGACCTGGCTTGCCACACAGTTACGTGTGTCTTAGTGCCAGCCTGAGGAGTATGGTGGGAACATGTGTCCAGGGTCTGAGAGAGAACAACTGTGTATTTTGACAGTAGCAAAGGCTTAATTTGGGTTAAGCTGATTGTGAAACCACTGCCTGGTGTTCCTCTGCTTCCTTCTGGTTCCTCAGGGTCAGGAGTTGCGGGTTGTGTTTGTCTCCTGGCTAGTAGCTAGGTGAGGAATACCCTGCAGAGCTCTGGGTGGCTCTGCTATCTGCTTAACCGTACGTGGAAGTTGGAAAGGTTCTCTGTAACGGCCGAGTGTGGAGGACCAACAGCCCCAGGCCAATTCTAGCTGGGTCAGTGATGGTGAGGCAGATTACCTAGTACTTGTCTTCTCACCAGGCTGCAACCCTTGATTTTCCTTTGATTGATAAAATTCCTCATCCCATCCCCATTAGGGGGTTCATCTCCTCTTGTCTCCAGACTCTGTGACCTGACATTAGCCAGTACAAGCTGCTGTATATCTGGGGCTCATTTTCCTCAGGCCATCTCTAGGAGGTGAAGGACCGTTTTAGCGGTGTCCACTGGAGACTCGGCACAGGGTTCTGTGAAGCCTCACACAGAGCTTTTCTGAGAGCTCTGTGAGTCTGCCTGGTCTTTCTCTGCTGCACAGAACTGCTGCAGAGTCCTTGTTTTTCTGTCATGCTTCTTTTCCCCTACTGGCATGGGGAGAAAGCACAAAGCAGAAAGCAAAGGAGGTGATATTTGCAAGCCAGCAGAAAGGTGAAGCCAGGGGTGCAAACAGGGACTGCTGACTGTCAGTTTGTCTGTGGCTTAAGTTCCTGGCTGTCACGTAAAATGGCTTCCCACTAGGCAACTGACCTTTTTGGGACCATGATACGATGGGATATTGCTGTGCAAGAGATCTTTAGCCTGTTTTGTCCTTTGTCTCCCGTAGATGCTGCCGCTATCCTGCAAGAGGAGCAAACCAAGAAACCTTGTCGGAAATTTCTGCAAACAGGTGAGTTCATCTGAGGTAGAAAGAGAGCTGCCTGAGCTCCAGCAGCTCTTTCATGAGCCAGCCCAAGGCTGTTCTGGTGAGCCCTGGTATGTGTGTTTGCCTTGGAGGGAGTGAAAGGCTCGGGCCAGTGTGTCTGGCACGCAGGTGTGATGGATCCTGGGTTTGCATGCACATTTACGAGGGAGGACCTTCTGTGTGCGGCTCTCATGGAGCTCTGTGGCTTTTGTTCCAGGACAGTGTGATTTTGGGTCCAACTGCAGATTCTCCCACATGACAGAGCAGGACCTGGAGAAGCTGAGTGCCCAGGTTCAAGGTGAGTCTTCGAACAGGGAAATGTCCAGGGGTGTCTGAGGAGGGGGCGTTGCTGCAGGGAGTGTGGGCTGCAAAGGGGCACGTGAGGGGTTGTGCAAGGAGAGCCTGCGGTCCCGTGCTGCCTGTGAGCAGCGAGCCGAGCGTGGATCCCTCCCGCCTGTGTCTCAGTGCTATGTCAGCCTGTAGCATGGCTGTAAGTGCTGCAGTTTCTCATGTGCTTTCTGCTCTTGGTCTGCTGGCACAGACACAGACCTAGAGTTGAGCAATGCTGTTACTACTCAGCAGCAACCATCTGAAGCAGAGAGTGGGCTTTCTGAGCCCTCGGGGTTTTGTTCAGTCAGGGAATAAAAACTGTCAGCAGCAGAGGGCACTGGTACATCACTTCCCCTTAAATTTATGGATTTGCTTTCCCCCCACCTCTATACTATTACCAGGCAGCTGCTGCTTCCACTCTTGGGAAGAGCTAACCTGCTGTCAGTTGGGTTGTCCTGAGGAGAGGACATGGGGTCTTGGATCCAGAAATGGCCCTTGCTCATGTGGCTTTGAGTGGAACTGAAGTTTGGGCAGGGGATGAATGGCAGCTGCTCCCCTGCTGTGAGTCGCCAGAGCACTTGTGAACTTTTTCATTCTGGGAGTACCACCCCCTTACTCTAAAAGGGGTGGCAGCTTTGCTTTCTCTATAGGATTCATTACTTTGGTGGTTAGAGAAAATTTGAGTGAGGTGTTGGTGAGAATTTATGGAACGGTTGATGTCTCCACTGGAGATCGTCTAGTCCCAGGCCTACCTTGCTCAAAGCAGGGTAAGGTAGAGCCAGCTGCTCAGGACCACGTCCAGGTGTGTTTTGAATATCTCCAAGGCTGGAGAATCTACAGCCTCTGTGGGCAACCTGTTCCAGTGTTTGACCACATTTGCAATAAAAATGTATTTACTTTTTTTAATAGTTAAATGGAAATTCCTGTATTTTTGTTTGTGTCCATTGTCTCTTGCCTTCGCTGAACTCCTTCCAGTATGTCCTTGTCTCTGTGGTACTGGGGAGCCCAGCACTGGACACAGCACCCAGACATGGCCTCACCAGTGTGGAGCAGAGAGGAAGGATCGCTTCCTCGACCTGCTGGCAATGCTTTTCCTAATGCTTTCCTAAAAGTCATTTCCGATTTCTGAGAAGATCTTGTGCCCACACTGCTAGCTGAAGCCAACTGCTGTTTTGCCAATAGTCTGGCAAAAACAGGCTTAAGTGTTGAAAGCGTGTGTGTGCGTGCGTGCGTGCATACATATGAGATTTGGGGTGTGTGTGGGGTAGAAACTTTCTCCTGGCCTTGCAAGGGATCGGATTTGAGGAGGCAGGGCTCTGGTGAACCTGGTGCAGCAGGAAGAAGGCAGGCACTACAGAGCTATTCCAGTCCTCGCCGTTGCTGAGTCAGTCTGCGAGTCCCCGAAGCGACTCTGTGAATCAATCACTGAACAACGCTGGCAGTCAATAAAACCCATCTCGTCGGGCTGCGCGGGAGACGGAGCGCTCCAGCCAGCCCTTCTCGGAGTGGCAGTCGTGCTGCTCTTCCCTGCCGCTTGCCCGGAACCTCTCCCCGACCTTTCCCTGCTGCAGGGTTTAAGTGCTGGGCTCCTGAGAGGTGGCATAGCATGTCAGCCTATTTGCAGGAACCTGTAGCGTTTCCAGTCATTGGAGGCTGTTTATTGCAGGGGAAGTGAAAGCTCTTTGGAGTAGAGCGGAGCTGCAGGGGAAGGCTGGCAAGCTCTGCTGCGCTTGGGCAGGTTTCTTTGCCAATTACACTTGTTATTGAATATTGACTTCTGTCAAATGGGTCAGGTGTAAGTGGAGAATTGGCTAGTGAGAGAGCTGATTCCTGGGAGATTACTTGGAAACCTTGCGTTTGTATTACCAAGTCAAACATTTAATTAAACAATTAGACTTCAAGGAGCAATGGCCAGGGGACGGCAGGGTGCCTCGTCTTTGGCTGTGCTGCTCTAGCACGAGTGCCTGGTGGTAGAGTTAAATCCTGCTCACCTCTCTCGTGGTGTTGCTCCATGGAAATCCCGTGTGAACGGAGCGAGGCCTCTGAATCTGATCAGTTGAGCCTGCAGAGAGCTTGGAGGGATTTGATGGAGGGAAGAGCTCAGCAGGACTTGGTGGAGAAGAGGTGAGCCGGCGCTGTGCGCTCACAGCCCAGAAGGCCAACCGTGTCCTGGGCTGCCCCCAAAGCCGCGTGGCCAGCAGGGCGAGGGAGGGGATTCTGCCCCTCTGCCCCGCTCTGGGGAGACCCCCCTGCAGGGCTGCGTCCAGCTCTGGAGCCCTCGGCACAGGAGAGACATGGACCTGCTGGAGCGGGGCCAGAGGAGGCCCCAGCAACGCTCCGGGGACTGGAACAGCTCTGCTGGGAGGACAGGCTGGGAGAGCTGGGGGGGCTCAGCCTGGAGCAGAGAAGGCTCCGGGAGACCTTCCTGCAGCTGCCAGGGCTGAGAGGGGTGTGATAAGAAAGATCACAGATTTCTTAGCAGGGCCTGTAGTGATGGGACAAGGGGTGATGGTTTTAAAGAAAAAAGAGGGCAGATTTAGACTAGATCTAAGGAGGAAATTCTGTACAATGAGGGTGGTGAAACCCTGGCGCAGGTTGCCCAGAGCAGTGGTAGATGCCCCATCCCGGGAAACATCCCAGGTCAGGTTGGACGGGGCTCTGAGCATCCTGCTCTGGTTGAAGATGTCCCTGCTCATGCAGGGGGTTGGACTAGATGGGCTTTAAAGGTCCCTTCCCACCCAAAGATTCTATGATTCTGTAGCACGGTAGACTGGATGGAAGGAAGAGCTGCAAAAGCCAAGCCACCGTTCAGTGTGTCACCGGGACATTTCACCACTCCTTAGGCTACTGACACATCAGTGTCTCAGATGGGGAGGCTTGGGGCAGAGTTTAAGGCGAGCTTGCGTGATGGCAGGTTGGGCCGCAGGTTGCATTAGTCACGTGGGAGACCGGATCCTCATAGCGTGTCCGTCAGGCGCCTCTGTCAGCAACGTCCCTATACGCATTGGCACCTAGTCCCGGTGTTTCTGTGCTCGCAGGCCACTGCGAGTGAGATGACCAGTACAGGTTAGAGCAGTGGTCTGGATCAGGCTGCCTCTTACCGAATTGTCAGTGTCCTCAGAGATTTCCCATCTGAACCTGCAGTGTCTGGGAGATTTTGACAGGCCTGCAGCCTGAGGTGGGCAGGAATTTGAGATGAGCTGAGAGCCTGGAGGCTCCAGAGCCTCCTCACCATTTTTTGCAGAGCTTTGTGTGACCGAGCTGGAGATGTCCACGCTCTGTCTCTGGTGGGGTAAAAGTGGACAGCCCCTTGGTGGGTCCACAGTGCTGCTTAACTCCACTTTCCTCAGCTCTGGTGCGTGGGCATAGAAGCAGAGGAGCTGTCAGAATGCGTTGAACCTGTGTCTCCCCTTGTCCAGGGTCAGATGCTTCACAAAAAGGTGCAAAGAAATCCTGTCGTAAAGTGGTGTAGCCCACTAAGCCACCTTCAGGGATGGGCTTGCATCCTCAACCACAGCAAAACCCTTTCTGACTTCTTTTTAAACGCTGCTAAACCCTTGATGGCACGTCTTTGTCATGTAAATATTGAACCTGTGCCTGAATCCCTGCTAAGTGTTTGGTGTTGGTAGTTCTGTGTCAGTGAGCTCCCCTTGCTAATGATGCATTTTTATTACAGCCAAAGGAAACGTTACATTATTCTTAATATTTGGCCTTTTTCATGCAGGGAATTCACCCTGTTGTTTGTGTTAGTCTTGTGGGTTAAGTAGGAAAATTTCTGGACGATTCACTGTTCTATAACAGCTTAGAGCCTGTCCTAGTTTGGCTTCAGCATTTCTGCACCCCGTAGAATATACTCATCAAGAAGCAACAGTTCCCACCTTCAGCAGGGAGGGAGGCATATTCCCAGCTGTTACAGCATCAAAGCTCTAGCATTCTGCATCTGCTGCATCATTCATCAGCGAGACACTTCCAGGCTGTCATTTTAAGTACAGTCATGTCAGAAAAAGTCATTGTCAAATTGCCATCTTCTTGCTTAAAGTTATTGGCTCCCTGCTAATCTGCGTCACTTCTGCTGGTAGTAGTGACACAACCCAGCCTCTTTGATGAGCTCCAGCCAGCCGGAGCTGCGAGGGGAGAGTAAGAGCACGGTTGGGTGAGTGTTTGCAATATATCCGTGTGATTGAAAGAATTTGAGTGACCCTGCTGGGTGTGGCTGCAGTCAACCAGTCTAACTTAGCAATGAGCAGGAGAAGGAGCGCTCTCGCAGCTCTTGGCTGTGGGGTGGTAACTTCTTAAGCTGCTCATATTGCAGGGCCTCGTCAACCTCATCTCCGCCACAGTCTGACGCTGTTCGTGGGCTCTGGAGGAGTTTGAGCCGCCACATCTTCTGGCCCAGGGAGGGAGCTGAAGGATTAGATGCAAGTCTCTGCTGAGTGACCTGCTCAGTGCTGGTGGTTGCGTCTCACGTACGGTGATGCCTCGTTCAGGAAGAAAACTCATGCTAAAAGTTGCACGGGGAGGGAAGATAAATCTGGGCTCCCGCGCTGGCATCATTAGAGGCACTTCATGACTACAGATGCTCTTTTAATTGGCTGTAATTAGACTTTGAAGCAAACACCCCAGTGAGAAGGAGGGGGGGTCCTCCTTCACACCTGTCTTGCTGCCGCAGTCCGGCTGGCCGCACGAACATGTATGAGGAGTGAGGACTGGTAATTGTGTTTCAGAGTTACATCTTGCAATACCTGTTGATATTCAGGGGATATTTCCAACCCCATGGAGGTTTTGGTGGTCCCTGGATGGGATGTATGTGCTTCAGAGAGGCGAAAGATTTGCCTTTTTGATGGATATGCGTCAAGGTGGACAGAGCCAGACATTTGCCCATATCTGCTGCCTTATATCTCAGCCTGAGGGCTGGAGTGCTTTACAGCAGTAACTCCTGGAGCTGCGTGAATGGGGAGCCAGCTGGATGCCTTTCTGATCTGGACACCTAGGGCCTCATTTACGCCAGCGTGGGTCTGGAGTCGTTCCACTGCAGCCAGTGAGCTTTTCTGGACGAGACAGTGAGTTGTGGCTGCTCGAGTCTGTGGGCTCCCACTGATTCCTGGTGTGGTACTTTGGGTTAGTGGCCCTGGGGCTCCCTGCTCTACGCAGAGAGGCTTTGGCAGTTTTTGGTCTGTTCTATGTTGGGGCTTGGAGTGGGATGAAAAGGAAATCTTGGTGGTAGGTTGAGGTGGGAGAGATCCGTGATGTTCTTCCCTGCCGTGCCGAAGCCTCTCACAGACACTGCTTGTCCCCTTGCTGAGGTGGGATGTGCCCAGGCACTCAACAGATGGAGCAGCCTGGAAAAAGGGCAATAAGGTGGCTGTGGTCAGGGTTGCCAGGGAAGTCTAACCTGGGAGCTGAATTCAGATCTCCTGAGTCTGAGCAGTGCCCAGCTCACCAGACTGGCCTTCTTTGCCTACCCAGTGCCCTCACCTGGCCAGGCTGTTGGGCTGACCCCACACAGCTCTGCTGGGGCTTTGCTCCCTGGGAACAACTGTAGGAGACTTGGAGAGTCCTGTCTCCAGCCGTATCCTTATCGCTGGGTTGCAGAGCAGCACCTCGACATCAGGACCACAGCAGGCTGCCTTTGTGGTGGCAGTGAGTACATCGTCACCCCCTCCCAGCATCAGCAGATGAAAAGGCTGGATGACAAATTATCCATCTCCGGCTGCTCATTGTGTAGCACATTTCTGCCATCCTTATTAATATTCAACAGGCAGATGAATAATTGGTTGCCACCACTAGGATGAAGTGATCCTTCACTCTGCCCAAGCAATATTAATTTCACACCCTGTCTCGAAACGTATAATATTTTCCTTAAATGTGTGACATATGGCGGGTAGGTGTGGAGCAGGCCGCCTGGGGGCCACCGCTGCCAGTGGCTGCCACCGGCATGGGACCGTTAGCACCTTGATCTCTAAATGAGATCAGGGCTCCCCAAGAGCGCGTGTCCCCGGAGGGTTTGATGAGCAGGGCAAAGGGCAATGACACACAGCTGCCTCGCCTTCCTTTTCATTAATATCTGTGTTTGTTTTTCAAAGTATCACATTCCCTTTTCTGTTAGGTGGGAACTTTCCACTAGGCTGGAGATCTAATAGCTCTGAGCATCAACTCAGCCCTCTCTGCCGGACGTGCTGCCAGGACTATGACCGTGTTGTTTGTGTCAAGGACTTGTGGAGAACAGGGTCTAGCACCAGCGTCCCTTCCTGCTTTGTCACTGGTGCCAAGGGGGGACCAGGGAGCTTTGCTAACTGGGCAGCTGAGGATTTCTGCCCGGTGGAAGGGACTGGTGAGTGCTGGGCTGCCCAGCTGGCTCTGTGCCCTTCAGCCCGGAGAGGACAGTGCTGTAGGACGGGTGGCCTGCGGGCATCTGCTGCCCACAACCCGCCCCGGGGGTGGGTTGAAAGCTTGAAGGGACCTCAGGCTGCCCTGTCTCTTGTAGGCAGCAGAGGTTTCCTACTGGCACTGCCTTGCTCGTTCCTAACTTGCATGAGAAAACGCAGGAAAGTGTTCCCCTCCCTCCGCTGTGCTCTGCTCTGATTTTGCACCTAGGCTGGGCGACAACCTCCCACCCTGTCTGCAGGGGCTGGGGATGCATCATGCAGCGTGCGCCTTAAACGGTCCTGACAGCATCTCTGCAATCCTGTCTCCTGGTTGTACGTGCACTCTGAACCTTTCAGACTCTCGCGGCCTGCCAAGTCTGCATCGATCCGGACAGACATCCCTGTCACTCCCGCCTATCTGGGCAGAGGTGGCAAAGTCCCTCCTGCCAGTTGGAGGGACACATCTTTGGAAACAGCTCAGGGCATAGGGCCAGCAGAGGCTGTTTCAGGCGAGGATGAGGACGATCTGCCCCAGGGGGAGATGTCAGACTCCCCTCAGTTAAGTGCCCGAACTGCTGCTGTGCTCACTGGCTCAGTTCTTGTTCCCGGCTCTGTCTGGCTGGAGCTGTCACCAGTGAGGAGGCCAAGCATCAGATGGCAGGTGGACAGTGGAGGAGGAGGAGGAGGAGGGGCTGCCATAGTCAAATTGCAAACTCTCCACCATAAGAAACTACGCAGGGTAATGAGCAGCGGGTTTAATGGAGTGAAAGGACTGCAACGCGAGCGTCTGATAGCCCTCTCTCTCTCAACCAGGGGAGCAGAGATCGAAGGAGCTGCGGCAGGAGGGAGCAGATGTCCCGCCTGGCACCATTGAGGACTGGCTGGAGAAGAGGGCAAAGAGACTGAGCGCGGCTCAGAGTAACAGGTACCAGTGGCTGGGGAGCGCCCGTGTGAGGGCTGGCTGCTGCTTCTGGCCTGCGCGATGCAGAGGGGGAATCCCACAAGAGAGCTGTGAGTGGGGTAGGAGAAGGCGCAAGTGGTCGGAGATCCCGACTCGATGGGACCCCCGAGCTGTCATTTAACACTCAGCCTGCCGGCGCCGCACGCCTGCTCTTGACACACGCTAAAGACACGCGTACGGGTCCCGTCTTGTGTGCCCGCATCAGAAATGCGTGGACGTGTCTCCCCGTGTGCAGGGGGGACAAGGCAGGCAGAAGGGTACTCCTGTGCTTTCTGCAGGGACATGCCTGCAAGGACAGTGCCACCGCGGTGCTGAGTTACTAGTGCCCAGAGTTCAGTGGCAGGAGCCCGGTCTCATCTGTTGACAGCTTCCCCATCCCCTGTCTGCACATCTCTGCCAGTCCCTGCCAGTGAGAGGGTGGAATTAGCTCCTCCTCGCGGCATTCGTTCGGATTCGGACGGCGGCCGGTGCCTGCTGTTTCCTTGCTCACCTGACTGTGCCGCAGGCTTAATTGGATGACATTTGGACAAGTGCCAAATCTCTCTTTTGTTCTTTTTTCTGTTTGCTCCTGTCCTCTCTGTGTTTGGTCTGGGCAGGATCTTCCTTCTGATGCTTTGTCTGGGCTTGTTGCTTTCTGTTCTCTCCATCCATCAGCTTGGCTGCTCTTCACCTTGCAGTGGTGCTCACTGACAGCTGCCACCTTCCTGCCCCCCCATACACTTCACTTGCCCCGTTTTGCTTGTCCTGCCAGTGAGTCCCATGATCTTGGGATAGATCATCTCTTGCAGAAGATAGCCGTCGCCATACCCAGAGGAATTTCCAGACCTTCATAACTAGCCAAGAAAATGCCGCGCTGGACTAGAAGTGGCCGTGTGGCCAGGTACTGCCTTGGCCGAAGGGTAGCACTTTCTTAAAGGCAGTAACTTGAGCACCATTCTGTCACCTAGATTAGCCCCACGGGTGGAAAATTGCCACGCTGCCTTCCACCCATCGTTCGTGCAGCCGCTCTCCCAGCCTGGCTGGGCTCAAGGGGACAATCTTCATTTGGAAGCCTCCACCTGATGCGTATTTTCAAAGTCAGGCTGTGCCATTGCTTTCTGGAGAGCTGGGGTGGAGTTGGATGGGGTTCTTGTAGTTCTCTTAGCAGTGGAGTTCTGCCAGGGTGTGATTGATTTTTAACCTGATTTCCAAAGGAAACGGAGCACGTCAGTGCACGTGAGCATGTGCTTCTGCCAAAATTGCCATGGAGCCCACTTGCTGATTTCCATCGAAGGGGTCTGAGGCCTCAAAGGTACTGAGATACTACAGGTTTCATGAATGTGGAAGTGGGTAGAGGAGAAGGGATCCCATTAATGCCTCCGGAATGGAAATATTCTTGACCCTTGCAAGACACCGGTGAATCCACGTGGGACAGCCATTCCAAATGCTCCAGCTGTGGGTAAACCTTGGATAGCACTTGTATCTTATGAGACCCCAGGGAATTGAGTACCCAGACAGCATCCTCCCTATTGATTAGTTCTGCTGCTCACAGAACAGCTCATTAGTTGATAGCTGTGCTGTTCCACCTTGCAGCATGCCTTGTCCTGCTCCCCGCCCCACCGTGCTGCTGCCGCAGGGGCTCCCCTGCCTGCGTCAGCGACGGTGCCTGGGTGTAACAAACGATATTCCTGCCCGAGAGGGGCTTGATGTGTGTCCTAAGAGTCTTGTCTCATCCTCAGCTCTGAAGGATCCCCATCAAGGGGATAAGCGCTAGACCAAATGACTTTGCTCTGTGCTAGCTGCCTAGAAAACACTGCACTCGACTTCTGTAGCTGGCTTTCGGCCATGTCGTCGGCCCTGCAGGGAGAGGAGGGTGCTGCTTCTCCGGAGCATTATGTAAAGGAGTTTGATTAGATTTCTTCTGGCATAACAATTAAAAAGATTCATCAGGATCGGAGGTAGAGGCCTGAGAAGCTGGAAGGCTGCTGTCAGGCCTTGCGCTAAGAAACAAATGAGCTTCCTGCACTCAGGAATTAATGGAAAAGGTACTTTTCCCGTGAATTTAGACCTGCCCCGGCCAAGCGCTTTCTTCAGCTGGAAACAAGGGAACGATGCTTCTTGCTTTTGCACTTCTTTGGTCAGGTGTGGTGTTTGCAGCGGCCTCAACTAGTAAATTTGAGGGAGAGAGACAGAGAAAAAGTGTTTCCAAGGCTGTGAGTTGGCGGAAGAAGCCTGTTCCCTCTGCTGAAGGGTGCTTCTGTGAAAACACCCTGCGTTTTGGCAGTTTCTCCGTTTCCGAGGGGTCCTTGTCCTCTGGGAAGTGCACAGCTGGCTGGAGGTTCAGCCTGCTCGGAAAGAAACATCTGCTGATTTTGTTTGTTCTTCTCAAAACTCAGCTGTGTGAAGAGTGGGGAGCAGCTGGGGGTGGGAGGGGACGGGCCCAGCCGTGCTCCCAGCGTGAGGCCTCTCTTGCCAGCAGCTGGGGCCGGGGCCGCTGCCCCTCGGGGGGGGCTGCGCCTGCTTTCCCCCCCTGCTTTCCCCCCCTTACCTTAGTGCCCCCACCTTATTTTTTAGGTGTTCACTAATGTAGCGCATGCCACAGCTGCTTGGGTGGGCTGCGGGGGGGCTACGCAGCAGTTCTGCTGTTGGATTTGGGAAGGGGGGGGTGAATATACCTGCTCGTTGATAACCAAAACTCTCCTTGCTGAACCCCTGCTCTTGTGGGGGGCTGGCGGAGGGGGCACAGGGAAGCTCAGCCCCTAAGCAGGGCCTTGCTCTCAAACTGAGAGGGCCCCGTCTCACCTCTGCCCCTTCCATCTCCCCACCTCTGCAGTGCTCTGCCGGAGAAACCAGCGCCTTTCCAGTACCCCCCGGGCTGGCCGCCGGCGCAGGATTTGCCCCCGTCCCTGCGCCCTGCCCCGCGGCCCCCCCGGCCTGGAGGTTGGCCAGTCCCCCCCAACCTGCAGTGGGGCTGAGGCACAGGGACCCCCGCAGAGGTTGTACTGGAGGCGGACTTCTTCTCTCTTCCCCCTGAGAGAGCGACAGAATTATTTATATACACTTTGGTGTCAATAAAAGCCTTTCCTCCCCTCCCAGCGCAGCCTGCCTGTGTCGTGTTGTTTCTCGCCGGGCAGCTTCCCGTGGGTTGAGCCGGGCGGGCGGTTGTCTCCCTGCCGCTGGAACGGGGATCTGTGCTCAGCAGCGCTCCAGCCCCACGCGGAGGGGCTGTCCGTTGTTGTCGGGAGCGGACAGCCCCCGTTTCCCAGGGCAGGATCCGTCCCCTCGGACCGCTGCTGTGCCCTGCACCGCCCGCTGGGCTCCATGCGGCTGATCCAGGCCGGGGAAGGAAGCTGTAACCAGGCTTTTAAAATTGATTTCTAATATTTCCTCCGGTGTTTATGACTTCTGTTTGCTTCTGTTAAATTCAGCGTGTAAAACTGCTTCGGTTCAGGTGCCGCAGCTCCTAATGAAGAGCTTGGGGAGCTCCCGTAAGCCCTCTGCTCCTGCTCCCACTATGCTGAAGGTGAGAAGCAAGGAGGAAAAAATATACCAAGGTTTCTCCTGCTGCAGAAAATGAAGTAAACGGTGAGTGCCAGCGGGGCAAATCCCTCCGTGGGTCGCTCCCTGCGATGGAGCCGGCTGGCCAGGTGCCTGTGCTGGGGACTCGAGCTGGGACGGGGCGAGGAGGGACTCCATGGCCCTCCTGCTCGCTGCGGGGCTGCGCTGGGAGCCGAGGGCCAGGCACAGTGGCCGGGGCGGCCAGCCTGGTTGCCTCCAGCTTCTCCTCTTCGCTGCTCTGGAAGGGCTGCCCTGGAGAAGAGTCACTTTTAGGGTGCAGCTTCGGTATGGCCAAGCCCAGCCCAGCCGGAGGCTGAGCCCAGCCATGTGGCTGTCGCAGTGAGTTTTACAGAGTCGCCGTTCCTCACCAGGAAAGGGAGGGATTCTTCCCTTCTCGGGAAGGCAGGTGGGTGCTCGGCTTCACCGCAGAGCTGCGGGGCGTGCGGGGGATCCCGGCCAGCAGGGACAGCAGCTCTCCGGCAGC